TGCCTGGGAACCTTAGGTAGTCTTTCCTTACACCTTCGGATAGGGTATGACCTCCTTGCGCTGTATCCATTTTTCCTTAGCACGTCCTGTACATGGGACAACTCATCTGCTAAGAAGTCAGTATTACATAATGCGTTAGCCCTGTTAATAAGAGTTGTCTCCACAGAACGTAGGTGTTGAGGATGATGATGAGATGAAGCGTGGAGGTACTTGTCTGTGTGTGTTGGTTTCCTGTAGACAGTGTGTTTCAGGGACCCATCAGCTTGCGCCATGACTTTAACGTCCAGAAAGGGTAAGGTTTTGTCACTCTCTAACTCATAGGTGAACTTGAGATTCGGATGGATATTATTGACGTGTGTAAGGAACTGCTCAATCTCCGGTTTGTCGCCCTTCAGGATACAGAACACATCGTCTACATACCGTTTCCACATACGGATCCCATGTGACTGGTAATCTATCAATGACTCGACATGTTCCATCCATATATTGGCCAAAAGTGGCGCTACGGGGCTACCCATGGCGACACCATCAATTTGAAGGTAATGTTTGCCGCGATATAGGAGATAGCTGCCATCTAAACAGTTCCGTAATAGAACCATGTACCCTTCCGGTATATCGTTTTGTCTAAGTTTCATCCTAACAACCTCTAGACAGTCCTTAACTGGAACTTTGGTGAACAGCGACTCAACATCAAAACTCACCATTACGTCATCCGGATCCAGTTTTGTATCATCAAGGATCTGTACAAAATGACGCGAGTCCTTCACAAAGGATGTTGTAGTGCCCACAAGGGGTTGCAGTACGGAAGCAACGTGTTTTGCCAAATAATAAGTAGGTGAGTCAATCTGACTCACAATCGGTCTCAGTGGAACGCTGGCCTTATGCACTTTCGGCAATCCGTATAATTTTGGTGGTTGTACTATCTTCGGCTTGTATAGGTTCTCAAAGATGTCCTCGGTGAAAAGGTGTTTATAATCCCTGATAACAGCACGTATTCTCCTTGTAACTCTCGCAGTTGGATCGTACGATACCGGCTTATATATGTTATCATCTTGCAACAGAGCAAGTATTTTGGAGTCGTAATCGCTAGTATTTATCACGACGGTAGCGTTGCCTTTGTCGGCCTTGAGAACGAGAAGGTCCTTATTAGTTCTCAAGTTCTTAAGAGCTCTACGCTCTTCGCTCGTGACGTTGCTCTTAGGTACTTTGGATTTACGTAACACGATAGCGACATCTTGCCTCAAAGCGTCGGCATCATCAGTTGGTACCTTATTACGAACTATTGTCTCCTCTATACTGCTGATGATATGTTCATACGGTATCCTCTTCGGGGTAGTAGCAAAATTCAGTCCCTTTGCTAAAACACTGCGAGTGGCACCGTCAAGTGTAGTATCCGATAAGTTGATGACGTCATCAACTGACTCCCCAGCGATCCTTGATCTTCCACTACGAAACAGCAATTTTTCGAATTTACGTTCATGCTTTTGCGTGGATAACTCGAAAATTCTGCTTGCTTGCTGATACGTTACGCGATCACATAACTCAAAATCACTGTACGATAGCTCGGACACACACTCACTATGCACTTTATAAAGGGCACGCTGTACACTGTCCAACTCACGATGACCGTTACGTATCAGTTGTTTAAGAAGACGAACACTCGCGCTCCGTAGAATGTCACTGGAATGTGCTATGTGTACACGCGGCTTAATACGAACGCACGTAGGTATCAAACCGTTATCACGACATTTTGTTAGAAAAATTGATGAAGTCTCTAACCTCACTTTTTTCTTCCGTAACGATTCTAGATGGCGCACTTTGTTTGCAATTTCCGGCCCGTATCGGTTTGCTAATAATATTTTTAAACTCACACGATTTGTATACATTATAATTATATGCAATCGGGTCTTGTTCGTGCATTTTTTAAAACAATTAATTTACCTCGACGTTTCGAGTTATCCACGCAAAAGCATGAACGTAAATTCGAAAAATTGCTGTTTCGTAGTGGAAGATCAAGGATCGCTGGGGAGTCAGTTGATGACGTCATCAACTTATCGGATACTACACTTGACGGTGCCACTCGCAGTGTTTTAGCAAAGGGACTGAATTTTGCTACTACCCCGAAGAGGATACCGTATGAACATATCATCAGCAGTATAGAGGAGACAATAGTTCGTAATAAGGTACCAACTGATGATGCCGACGCTTTGAGGCAAGATGTCGCTATCGTGTTACGTAAATCCAAAGTACCTAAGAGCAACGTCACGAGCGAAGAGCGTAGAGCTCTTAAGAACTTGAGAACTAATAAGGACCTTCTCGTTCTCAAGGCCGACAAAGGCAACGCTACCGTCGTGATAAATACTAGCGATTACGACTCCAAAATACTTGCTCTGTTGCAAGATGATAACATATATAAGCCGGTATCGTACGATCCAACTGCGAGAGTTACAAGGAGAATACGTGCTGTTATCAGGGATTATAAACACCTTTTCACCGAGGACATCTTTGAGAACCTATACAAGCCGAAGATAGTACAACCACCAAAATTATACGGATTGCCGAAAGTGCATAAGGCCAGCGTTCCACTGAGACCGATTGTGAGTCAGATTGACTCACCTACTTATTATTTGGCAAAACACGTTGCTTCCGTACTGCAACCCCTTGTGGGCACTACAACATCCTTTGTGAAGGACTCGCGTCATTTTGTACAGATCCTTGATGATACAAAACTGGATCCGGATGACGTAATGGTGAGTTTTGATGTTGAGTCGCTGTTCACCAAAGTTCCAGTTAAGGACTGTCTAGAGGTTGTTAGGATGAAACTTAGACAAAACGATATACCGGAAGGGTACATGGTTCTATTACGGAACTGTTTAGATGGCAGCTATCTTCTATATCGCGGCAAACATTACCTTCAAATTGATGGTGTCGCCATGGGTAGCCCCGTAGCGCCACTTTTGGCCAATATATGGATGGAACATGTCGAGTCATTGATAGATTACCAGTCACATGGGATCCGTATGTGGAAACGGTATGTAGACGATGTGTTCTGTATCCTGAAGGGCGACAAACCGGAGATTGAGCAGTTCCTTACACACGTCAATAATATCCATCCGAATCTCAAGTTCACCTATGAGTTAGAGAGTGACAAAACCTTACCCTTTCTGGACGTTAAAGTCATGGCGCAAGCTGATGGGTCCCTGAAACACACTGTCTACAGGAAACCAACACACACAGACAAGTACCTCCACGCTTCATCTCATCATCATCCTCAACACCTACGTTCTGTGGAGACAACTCTTATTAACAGGGCTAACGCATTATGTAATACTGACTTCTTAGCAGATGAGTTGTCCCATGTACAGGACGTGCTAAGGAAAAATGGATACAGCGCAAGGAGGTCATACCCTATCCGAAGGTGTAAGGAAAGACTACCTAAGGTTCCCAGGCAACGGGCATTTTTAGGCTATGTTAAGGGAGTAACGGACAAAATCGGTTCCATTTTGAGGAAAAATTTTTCTATAGACACCATTTTTACTCCTTTATCAAAAATGTCACACCAATTGCGATCACCAAAGGATAGTATTCCTTACCAAAAACCTGGCGTTTATAAAATTGACTGCAGCTGCGGTAGTTCATATATCGGACAAACGAAGCGGACTATCGCCGAACGTGTAAGAGAACACATAGCAGCGGTCAAAAATCGTCAAGTGGAGAAGTCCGCGATTGCAGAGCACTTATTATCATCTGGATCAAACCACTGGATCGAGTTACATACACCTCATGTCCTTTCCACTGAACGACATTACTATCCAAGGATTGTTCGTGAAGCGGTTGAAATCAAAAAACACAACAATTTCAACCGGGAAAGTGGATATAAACTCTCACCAACGTGGAATCCGGTTATAAAAATGTATAAGTGTCGCGATCGCAAACAACCACGAACAATATTCTCGGATACCGTAAGTGCAGTGTGTCGCCACCTTTACGTATAATAAAATCAAGTGGAGGGTACATCTGAAAATCAGTTAAAAACATTATTACCGGATTACCCTCAACTAAAATCAGAAGACGACACCCGCCAGTTCTCCAGTCTCCTCGTGACCACGGCTGCTGTAACGTAGCCGAAACGTCGAGGTAAATTAATTGTTTTAAAAAATGCACGAACAAGACCCGATTGCATATAATTATAATGTATACAAATCGTGTGAGTTTAAAAATATTATTGGTATACTCAAGTGTAAACTTAAACACATGGCAACCTGGATACACTAATGACCCTAATATACACACATTAATACGATGAAACGAAGCTTTAAGCCAAAATCAACTAATAAATTTGAGGTTTGCAGTAGACAGCGTCACACGCGTCATATATTCGCAAAAAAATAGTTGTTAAGATGCCGATACTTAGAAAGTGATTTTCTAATTATCCTAAGTTAATTTTGTTTTTTTTTTATTCTTTTTACAGCTAGTTTATGACTTCTATTATGGGGACAAATCACATTTTAACGTAAATTTCATTATTTAAATGAGGTGGTCAAAAAAGGGACTACCTTTTATTAAAACATTTAGTTTTCAAGTGTGGGAAGGATGTCCAATTAAGAATTCTATGCTGTCTGTAAAATGTATGGAGCTTTTTAAAATCTAATTTCATAATGCGAGTGACCATTATTATAAACACGGTAAATTTCCCGGATATGTATAATGTAATGCAAATACACTATTATATTGATTTATTCTTTAAGTTGAAAACGTTTTATAGATTAAAATTGTTTTTGATTGTTTATTATGTTTAAATTGTAACTTTACCTATTTAAATAATATTTTTGTGATTAGAATCCCAATCAGGTTGTTTTCATAAATAGTTATCAAATCAACTTTCGGTTAGAACAAACAATCTGTCCGATTTTTTTGGACTCGTCCCTACTGTTAAAGGCAAAGGGACCACAGACATAACATTTTAGCAGCGTTTATTTTGTTTAGAATTAAATATATTTATAACATTTAGAAAGTTTATTGGTTAAACTAAAATGTTGCTACATTTTTAAATTATGACACTAAATGTATTTTAATAACAAAGAAAACAGTACCATTTCCGTAACTTTGAAAAACAAAAATTATTTTTACTGCCTTACAAGGTTACTTTGAAGTCGAGACTGAGAGATGTCAAATGTGGCCTGTTATAATAACCCAACTGTAAAAACAACGTGCGCTTTCTTGGCCCACATGACTATAAAATTAATAGATAACGCTGTATTACATGCTTCATTTTTCTTTTATTTATGAGACCAAGAAATTGCTATCCTGTGCCTATCCCACATTTATCGCTTTTAATATATTATTTGCGATAATGTTCATAACAATTAAGTAATTCAAAGAGGTCATTTATTTTGTAATATTTACATTATTCTGTAATTACGTTAACAAGGCAGATAACTTATGACCTCTTGTTATCTTCTGCTAATAGGTATGAAGATGTGTATCAAAGTGGTCACTGCTTAATAGTTATTTGGCTTCAAACGTTGATAGTTTAAAGTGACGAAAATGAGATTACTGGTGAGTTTTTAAAGTATAAAATAAATTAGATTTTTTTTTCTCACTAAAAGTAACATTAAGAAAATTAGGTGTGACGCTTTTAGTGTCGACTGAAGATAAGTAAACGACAAAATCTAAAACAGACAACGAATTTTTAATAATAAATGTAGAAATAAATTAATAAATGCATATCTATTATAAAATTATAATGTATGATTTATAGATGGCCACTTACTTAATTAATCCCGAAAATGACGAATTACTAGCAGAAAATTGCCTCATACGCAATTATTGGGGTTCCTTAGTAAACAGGAAACCTTATAGTTTCTCATGTCTGTCTGACTGTTGTCCATCCGGGGTTTAGCTCAAAAACTATATATTGGTACTTGAAAGTTGTAATTAATCATGAGTATACACTTTAATTACGCCAATAAAGCGGTAAAGTAAAATTTGGAAAAAATAAATTTAAAGTACGTGTAAAGCGAGGATGATATTTTTTTCGTCTTCCCAATAGTGGATAGTTCTATAAAAATCATTAGGGGTGTGGGAAGACTGTTTTTCGATTCAGTAAACCATTTGTAACTTATTAGGCTTATTAGCTTTAATGAGATAATTTTCGTTACAAAAAGTTTAAAGTGGATACTTAGGACGAAATAAACGGTGGTACGCACCGTTACAAAGTGTCCCCACTCTATCAATTAAATGGTCGTTGTTAAACATTCAAACGACAAGGCAGTAGCACTTATATATAACTAAGTTAAAAGGAAAGCTATAACCACACACACTATACACTTAATTCGTCAGTCCTGTTAGATCCTGGGTAACTTAATGGTTAGAGCAATTGCCTGGATTGCGAAAGGTGGGTAAAAAAGATGGGTTCGAGTCCCATTTATGAGATTATATTAACTCAATTCTTCTATAATATCGCGAATTCCATGTTTTTCAGTAGTCTCGTTCATTTGGCGTGTGCAAGTAAGAAATTTATGCTATTATCTTCCAACACACGTTATAGTATAGGTATAATTAAAAATTGCTATAAAAGTCATCATTTCAATATGTTTGCCAATTCCAGGTATGCACAGCATTTGCCTTAACATTACAATTATTGATAAAACTAGCTTTTGCCCGCGACTTCGTCCGCGTGGTAAAGTTACTTTGACCAGCATTTCTAACGAATATTTCCATTATATCGTGTAAAATACCTGAAATAAAGTTCCATCCCCTATTTTATCCCCTTGGTGGTAGCATTGATCAAAATCCTTCCTTAGCAGATGCCCAGGTCATAACATCTACCTATATACCAAATTTGAGCCAGTCACCTTTGAGTTATATTTATATACTGACTGACATAGTGATCTATCAACGCACAGCCCATATATATACTATACTATATAGATGATGTATAATTAACTCGTTTCATTATACTCAAGTATACTGTTACGTGTATAGCAGCCATTATTCTATTGATTTAGCAACCGGTGACCTTGCTGGACCCGTCACAGCTGCTGCGGCCCGAGTCGGCATTCGATGGCAAACCGCTGAGCGCGTTCCGTGATTACAGCGTTGACGACGAGGATCCTGTGAGGATGCGCGTGCGCAGGACTTACTACAATATGCATACCAACATGACCGTCGACTTTGTTAAAGGTATATGATGAACGAATAGAACGGTAATGTCATATTCTCGATTGATCGAGAGCAGCTCGATATTAGATTTAGCCCATACAAAAGGGTATAAATTACAATAAGAAATGGAAATATAGTGATTTTTATGGGTAATTATGATACTTTTCTATAGAGAAAATTTTATAATACACGATTTGGCTGTCACAGAACCCTTTGAAATATTATGTGGGTAGTTTTTTTTTTCATTTTCACTTATTTGAACATTATTTCTTTCACATACAAAACCAGCCCAAAATTAGCGATTTTGAGTTTACGTGCAGTCTTAATATTGCACACAAAAAACAAACCACCATAGGCAGGAGTTAATAGGGATGATGACAGAGAAACAGATAATAAAAAAATATTATTAAGTACAAACAAAAAATCAAAAATTTTGTATAGATTATAACTTTTTATAACTTTTGTATAGATTATAACTTTTTATAACTTTAGTATAGATTATATGAAATCAGTCAAATTATGTGGGTATAATTATTTCTTTATTCTTGATTTTGTGCTCACAGGCAAGATGAATAAATGGTTGAAGTTCAACCACTTCAAAGCGACGGTCAAGGAGGCCCTGGTGCGACTGAACGAGCTGGTGGACGAGTCGGATCCCGACACGGACCTGCCCAACATAGTGCACGCCTTCCAGACGGCCGAGCGGATCCGGGAGGACCATCCCGACGATGACTGGTTCCATCTCACCGGATTAATCCACGACCTTGGAAAAGTATGATACCCACATTTTTACACATTAATCTTTAGTACATTTTAGGCTCTCTATGGCGTAGTAGTAGTTAGCTCGTTTAGTCTTCAATTTTTGAGGTTAAGCAAAGGCAAAATTACCCTGAAGAATGAATTATGGAACGCGTCAAATGTCAGCTAATCATTATGATTTAAGTATCGCGCCATCGAGCGATCCACCAATATCCACTCGGCTGACCCCCGCCGAGTGTGAGTGAGACGGACACCTAATTCGTTGAATTTTACGCATTATGGAAAGACCTATACTGCGCAAATGAAGATTTACCATGTGCCGTGTGAGCTGAATTAACTATTCGGAAAGGTTTTCGACTATGTTGCGTCTGCAGTCGTTTTATCATGCAGATACACATTTGGTGGGTTCTGGTTCTGGTCGTTATCTCTATGATATCAATCATAGAATAGTGATATATTGATGGCGGTGATTAATTTAATACCAATTGTGAGTGAAGGTGATGGCATTCTACGAGGAGCCGCAGTGGTGCGTGGTGGGCGACACATTTCCTGTTGGATGCAAGTGGGGTCCTAGCATCGTGTACGGTGACCACAGCTTTAGAGACAACCCGGACACATACAACACTAAATACAAGTGAGTACTAGAGTGTGTCAGGAGACTGGTTCCATAGTTTAATGGTCTTGATCTGTACATGTAGCATGGCGAACTGGGGAAACGCTTTGTTTATACCAAAAGTCAGTCAGACAGTTCTCTATTCAAGGGTGAGATATCGTATGGGTGCACTCGAGAAAAGTGAAATTTCCGAGTAGCAGATAAAACGTTCTTGAGTACGTCGTGCTACTCGTGCTAGCGCCCTAACGTGGCACTCGGCACTCTTTGCCTAATTCCCACTCCTTGGCGAATGAAGCTTGAAGCTTGATGGCTTGACAGTACCCTATCAAGCCTTTCTAACATAGTGACCATATGATAGAAAGGCGCCAATGCTCTTGAATGGTCACGCCGCATAATTTTTTTGTGCTTGTATTAGTTTTTGTACAAGGATTAATGTTTATCTACGATATTTATATTAATCATATTGCCTTTTAGATTTAGAGTATTTTCTTTCTTTCTTAAATTTCGCGTAAAAATAACGCCCCTAGACACGTGCCTAGTTTGTCTAAAAAATAATCCGCTGCTGCCTTAAGGGATTTGGCGTAAAGGCATAAGAAAGAGATAAGATAGGATAGAAATTATACATTTTTGTAGATTGTGTAGGTAGAATAGAATATAGTGTTTTATGGGGAGAGGAAGGGACACCCCATATCCGATACTTTTGAAACATATTATTATTTGTATATATGTTTTCAGCACTGATTATGGAATGTATAAACCTAACTGTGGGCTGGAGAACCTGCTGATGTCCTGGGGCCACGACGAGTACTTATACCGAGTGCTTCTACATAACAAAACTACGCTACCCAAGAAAGGACTGTTCATGATAAGGTCAGCTAATTTCCATATTGTTTTGTTTCATATACATTTGAAGATCAGAGGAAAGCAAATGTGGCATCGAAAAAGGTATTTCTGGTAAAAAAATATTATTGTCGATTTATGACAAAACCTGTCATAAATTTACAAAACCTGTCATAATAAACTTGGTCTCCGGGGCTAGAGATGGGCAAAGCGTTTCCGCCCGTGCGGCGCGGCGGGCAGATAGGGAAAAATCCCCGGCATTTTCGGAATAAATTTTATTTGCCCTATAAACCGTTAAATGCTCGTTCAGAAGGTATAAAAATTATATTTAAAATAAATATTGTATTATTTAAAATAAATTAATATTTTAGTATACATTATTATGACGTAAATATGTTCGTAATGAAGTCGTTCTGATTTATTAATTAATTCATCATAGGCAAACGTAAACTATTGAAGGTGGACCCATAATCTTTGGTCAGTAGAGTTATTTTGTGTAGTTTATAGGATGATTTGACAAGAGGATTTTAGAAAATTCAACCTTTCTCTCTCATAAATGAACAGACATAACAACGAAGGCTAAATAAGACATGGAGTCCAATGAAGCAGTTTTTATAACGTTCTGTGTTTGACTACATGAAGAATAAAGAAGAAAATCTAGAACTTTGTTTGTTTTCTGTACCTACTGAAATTGAAAGTTTATTTCCTATTATTTTTTTTACACTTGCGAGGTACGTATTGGTAGCTATGTATTTTATTGATAGGTATGGTTTTAGTTATTTAAGGCTTATTTTTCAACCGACGAGACTGTTATTGTGTATGAAATAATAATAATAATAACAATTTATGTGTGCAGGAAATTCAAAACCTCTATTTGAACGTTAGTTAGTAGGTATTTAGTCATTAATAACCAGAGGTCCAAAAAAATGTTACACGTTTCTAACATCAAAAATGACAGACATCCATGTAAACTTTCAACCCTCATCACACTTTCAAGAGTAGAATTTCCGTAATAGCAAAAACAGGTATTGATTAATACCTGTTTCAGATCTGCTATCCGTAATGAAAAATGCTTAAAAAATCCACTTTGCCCCTGGCACTCTGAGACGGGACTCGAACTCTTAAAATGTAGGAATTAAGAGTCACAGTGGATTGGAGTATTTAATATATTTCACGTTGTAAATACATAAAAGTCAGACGAGAGTAAAGAAGAGAGTGAAATATATTAAATACTCCAATCCACTGTGACTCTTAATTCCTACATTTAAGACGAACCCATGATATTGTAAGCATGATTTTTTACAGTGGGTTTTTTAAGCATTTTACAATAAGAATATTTTTCAGTATAGCATTGTGAATGGGAAATTGATCAAATATAATGCAGGCATTAACTCATTTTTAAATGTTGTCTAAAAATAAAAATTAATACCTTTAAATAATTATTTTAAAACTGATACTTTCATACAAATTATTAATCTCTATTCCACCCTAGGATTGAATTTTTGTAAACCATTCGTGGTGAAAGTAAAGTTAGCTATCTTCCCAGACATCTAACTTTACTACCTAAAGACCATTGATCAAAATCGTTTATGCAGGGCGATGATGAATCAGTCATTGAATACAAAATTATTATTTAAAATTATTACAAAATTATGAATATTTACTTATCTTTAACAACAAAAGTAACTCAATCTTGAAAATTGATCTTTCGTTTAATTCTCAAATAAATTTTGTTAAAAAATATGAATACCCAGATAAATGCCCGGGCGGGAATTTATGGGCGCTTATCGGGTAAAAATTTTCAAACCAATCGGGAGTAAAATGTCTAGAGCATATGACACTGTGATTTACTGGAAAAAAATGTCACGGTTCGTAGCGTTGATCCAAATTTCTTTTATCTTAGGTTCAGGGGGAAATCTGCAAAATAAAAAGTATGTATTTATCTAATGCATGTTAGGTGCACCTGGCATTTAAAGTTTGGTCTTGTTTAGATGGAAACATATAAATTCTTAAATACAACAACTAATAACAAGTTTTATCGCAACTGAATGACAGGTTATACGTTGGAGCGCCTATTATATAAATATTTACATACATTCATTTTTGTCTACATTATATATTTATAATATAAAAACGTTAAATAAAGCCTTTTTAATCCCTGCCTTTCCAAAATTTAAGCAATTAAAAGCCGTCAAAATTGATTCATTTAGAATAACGTCACATAATTAGTTTATCTTCCTTTTTGATTAAGTAGGTACAGTGTGGGTAGATGAGCTGTATAATCGGCGTATATTTTTGAAACTTTCGAAACAGACTAAAGTAAAATGTTTAGAATATGTAACACTGTGTTTCTCTATGAGTAAAAAAAATCTCTATGAGTAGCGTCGATCTATTTTCTTTTCGTCTCACTGTCAGTGGGAAATCTACAAAAAAATATGAGTTATCTACCTAATACTAGCTGAGTAATAAAAAGTGTTTCTTTATTGGGCTAATGCATCTATCATAAAAGGTACATCATATTAATCGTTTAGGAGTGCAAAAAAGACAAATATAAAGAAATAAAATTGTATTTTTTCGTATCAGGCATAACGACAAAAACAGTGACAGATAGATTTCACATTTAATCCCCTTAATTTGGTCCTGTCGCAAAATAATCTTGTCGATTCTTGATCTCCAAATATACGAGTACAAAGAACTTCCATACAAACTTGTGAAGCGCTCAGCCCCCCTTAATTCGGGCCATTGTCAAATTATCACTTCTTTTCCAAATTTCATGTCAGTAAGTTAAATAGTTTCTGAGATTCCATGAGTAACGGTACCTAATGCAAATATATTATAATAAAACAAAAAAAATCTAAAGTTCTCGTGTTAACACAGCCGTACACTTTGATTGTAAGTACCAGTTATGACCATACAGTGTGTTTGGTATAGGAGTAGCTCGGTGGCGTAGTGGATAAGCGCCGCGGCCCACGATCGTTGTCGTTAAGCAACTTTCGCAAGGATCGGTCACGGGATGGGTGACCAAAAAAAAAAATTATTTCGAGCTACTACCAGCCGCTACCAACGGCTTAACGTGCCTTCCAAAGCACGGCTTTGGAAGGCACGTTAAGCCGTTGGTCCCGGCTGCATTTGCAGTCGTTAATACCCTCCAATCCGCATTGGGCCAGCGTGGAGGGTCGTGGCCCATCCTCCTTAACCATCCATAAGGAAGGCCTGGGCCCCTGCAGTGGGGACTTAAAAGGGTTGATGATGATGATGATGATGATGAGTGTGTCTGGTGCATGGAGCGACACATTTTTTTGAAAATGGAAGATCTTTAAATAAATTTTAGCCATGCACCTCAATCACCTCATGTTTAAAGTGTTCTATTACAAAAAAAAATATTCCTTTGAATCTAACATTTTTTTTTGTTTTATTTAAGTGAGATAGCATAAAAATTTTGCTGTATATTTGAATGTCTATTTTATTTTGAGGTTAGGAGGTGATTGATGGTTAAAACAATAATCTTTACAATCTGAATCTGAAATAAAATTTGTTCTGTACAATCTTACTGGTTGGCTGGGAGAGAATGCCTCTATGGCATTAAGTACGCCATTTGTCCTTAGTTTCGTTCGATGCTAAAGTTAAACAACTTTCCCAAGGGCGGGTCATGTGATGGGCGACCAAAAATTTACTATCTCGAGTTCATCGATATGGAAAGCCTGTGCTGCAGCTATAAGCTGGTGACGTCTGTTCTCAACAGGTTGACAGGATTTAAATTTAAATAAAAAAGCTCTTGTTATTTTTTGTTTACATAATTGTAAATTCAGTTTGATAGGAAATATAAATGTTCAATAACATTAACAGATACCACTCGTTTTACCCGTGGCACACTGGAGGCGACTACGAACATCTTATGACAGAGGCAGACAATGAAATCAAACAAGCTGTATTGGATTTCAAGTAAGTAAAAGTCGTACGAATTAACATGATACCCGAGGGCCTGTTCTATTTGTCCTCGTATGAAAATCGTAATTCTTATGTGCCAGTGCTAGGTTTTGTCTCCGTTGCATCATTGATTTTTAAGAATGCGTTTCTTTAGAGTCGTATTAACGTTATGAAAATAGACGAAATTCGTTTTCCGAGAAAGAGAAGAGCCTTCTATTCTACACAGTGTAGAATTAACGACGAAAGAGTTAACGATTACATAATGTTGATTTTGAGAGCGCTTTACATAAAAGGCGTTTTTAAATTACTTATGTTTAACGCTTTTAATTTAATCACCTAACTTGTGTTGTGCTTAAGCGGGGAAATTCTGAAAATGATATCAAACATTGTGTTTGTTCCATCTAATTTAAATTTGTTTAATCTATTAAAATTTTGTTTATTTGTCAACTTTATCAATAGTTGATAAAAAAGATACCTAATATGGTGGTAATTCGTCATTTTCAAAATTTCCTCGCTTTCGTAATTACCCCAAAGCACCCTATTTATTATATTTTTAGTTACTTATTATATTTTTATCCAACAGTCAATACGACTTGTACACGAAAAGCGCGGCTATACCAGACGTGGAGGCGTTATGGCCTTATTACGAGTCTCTGATCGAGAAGTACATTCCTGGAGAACTGCATTGGTAGAAATCAACGAAGATAACGAAACATCCGTGATTATTTATTTTATGGTTAAGTTGTTGAACCTAAAAAGCATTTGGGAATAGTTTAAAGGAAATTGCCCATCGAAGTATGAAATTTATTTTCAATTGAATCGCAATGTACCTACCTTCATGAAGCTTTACTCATCTTAAATGCGCAGGATTAAAAAAGGCTAAAAATGTTCAAGAAATTAAATTACTTTGTCTCATATACTATTTCAGTGCAAACTGAATTTACTCATATTCTAAGTGAAAAATGCTTAAAAAATCTGCACTACTCTGCCAATGTCAAGTGAATAAATTAAATTCTATATGTAAAATGAAAATGAAATGAATGAAAGACGGCGATGATCCAAGTGTACAGGTCAAAATCTATTGCAGAAAACGATAACCTGATGTGTGTACATTCTAAGCTACTTGTACGAATGGTACTACTGTTAAATACTTAAAGAGATATTGTCACTAATTAGATCTGACCAATATGTAACATGTTTTTCAATTTATCAAACCCGTTAATTTTATACGTAATACTAGCATTATAAGCACTGAGTACCTGTTATTTAAACAAATGTAATATTTATTAATAAAATATTGGTATAATAAATACATTTTATAAATATCAAATTTTATATTTTCTGTGATTAATTAATGTGATGGATAAGTGGTCACCAAAAGAGAAATCAAAAAAATCACCAAGAGGAAACAAAATAATAATTGACACGATCATATTGTATTAAACCAGGAACTTTATTTACGTAATATTTACAAAAAATACAAATCTCTCAAAATACATAATAATCATAGTAATAAAATAACTCATTATATTTAGCTTTCAACAACCAAGGATAGAACTAACACAATATTCTTAAGCTGTTAGTACATTTTATAATCACATTCCATTGCTGATACAATAAAGTTACGAATAGTTTTACCAGCATTTTTAAAGATCTTAAAAACTGGCCGTATAAAGCTGGCTTACCACAGTCGGTTTAATTGCTGAGCCTCGACGGACCGTGGGAAGGGTATCTAATAGGTAAGGATTAATGAGACAAAATATAATGATGGCTCTGTTAATACAAATCTTGAATTAACTTATTGGCATCTGTGTTAATGAAGGTGGAATGTATTTTTGACTCAAGAGATGATTTTAGTGCTCTAATTTCATATTTAATTGATAGAAATACAAAACCATTTTATTATAAATAGGTAAGTAACTCTTGAATGCTACGTTTTCCTTCGAATTTATTTATTGCCCCTGAAGGTATATGTCCAAATATTTCTACTAGTACAAACCAACATGCTTTTTATCATGTTAATAGGTGTATTCTACTTAAATAATACGTATTTTATTTAAAAGACATATTTTTAACTAAGGGTATTTGAGTAGCATGGTAGATATGCTTAGATATATGCAGCCCCTGTGGGAAATACTTCACAGGCAATAGATGGTCTAACCATACGTTATCAGACTTAAACCATTGAGCCGATTTATATAAAATTCACTATGGAGATGTGAAACCCGGGGCAGGGCACATGATAGTTTATATATACCTCGACAATCGTCATAGAGAATCTTAATAACTCAACTATCTTCATTCATAAACGTCATGCAAAATTAATCTTAATTATAATTTACCTCTTTTGCAGTGTTCTAAAAAATAAGATTTTTTTCAAAACATTCTAGTTAATTCATAAATATTTTATTTAATAGACGAAAAAGTTTTAAATACGCCTTGACCTTTTTCAAAAACTAGGTAATTAATCTGTGATGGATGACGTAAGCATATTAGCAAATATATTTTAAAAGGTCAACTGAGACAATAATTAATGAAAATAGTATCGTACAAAATTTCGCACATAAATTTCAACTCCATCTCGATTAATTTAAGATATTATTTATTCATTTTTTAAACATAATTTTAAAGAAACGCAAAAGCTAGCATTTTCAGCTTGATCTGAATTGACGTCAATATACTTTAAGCTACGGTTATAAATGCTTAATTTAATCACAAACCGGTATTAACCGGTAACAGCCACACCTCCATATTTTAACATTCTCACTGACACTTTGGACCTTAGTACTTGCATTTAGCATACACAATAGTATAAATAGACGATAAGACTTTATACAAATGACCCATACAAAAATCTTAAATACAAATAAGACACTACGATTAACACGCAAAGGCCTATATTTTAATTTAAGGCATGTTACTTTTTTATTAATTTACTTTACATTTTTATCTTGAACAATTTGTTAACTTTATGCTGTTTGTATTATTCTAACGCATTATAAACTAAATCTCTCTGTATGTCTGTCTGAACATTTTTCTTGCGATTTTAAGTGGGGTTTCTTTGAAAATTAAATCTATAGTTTAGATAAACTTACTATATTATATTGCTCGAAACCATTAAGATCAAAATATATAAAATAGCGTTCTTTATGTCAGCTTAACATTAACCGGTTAAAAAAAAACGTTTATTTTTTTATAACAGCTTGTATATTTTTTGTTCGCCAACAAATTGTTCAATGATAAATAATCCAATACATTAAACTTGTCTTCTATCAGTCTTCTTAAATGGAAAGACAGATTAAGCCTACATGGAGACCATCTTAAATAAAGGCAACGTGACACAAACGTTAATTTGGCAAACCCCCACACAAAAAATAAAAAAAAAATTGTTTCCTTTATTATATATGAACGGTCTCCATGTTAACTTGTAAATATCGGTATCATATCACACATACCTATCTACCTATCTGTAAGGCGACGCGATTTTTTTCCAAAACGGATACTACAATTCCAAAAATATCACACTAGCGGTTATCATAAAAGCTACCGTAAACATAGGAATGTTTTGTTACAACCTCCTTCATATAATTTTTATTGAAGACCTGGAATTTCAGAACAGTCTCAACAATTTTTTTTCGTTACTGGTCTACAACAATTCAGTGTTTTTCTAGCGAAAATGGAAGCAACTTAAAATTTACATTATTTATAAAACAAATATATGATAAAAAAATATATTCTATGTGCCATTCCATTATAACAGAAATGTGACACTCGTTGTAAATAATTCGAATAAGCATTATGTGTTCCATTGTAAATAAAACAAAAGTAAGCCAAAGTCAACACCAAGGGCTTACTTTGAAATAACTGTTTTATAGATTCAATATCGAAATCTTTGAATGCACGCTAGTGTTTATATTATTATCCTTCTACATTCTATTCCTAATAAATTCTCACCCATTTCCGACATTTTATCGATTTTAAGTATAAATGCATTAAGGCTGGCGAAGCAACCAAGCGATAAATATTCACGAAAAATATAAATTTCCTACGTATTTATGAAAACATTTCTTACGTATATCTATAACGTAATAAGATCTTAAACTTTCCGATGATTATATTTAATAGATTGGTATGAATATAATCCTCACTTCGGAGTTGTTTCAAAAGGTTTTCTGAGATGAGTTCACGTTTCAAAGTGTTTATAAATGCTGGTGACGTAAGCCATCACTTGCTGCCAATCCGGACGTTCCTGTTGGATCATGTCTTGTATATTCTGTAACAACGATAAACATATTATTATCCTTAACATCAAAGCAAAGCAAAGACAATCTTTGGTGAGTATGTAACACTTCAATGATCCAAAATCTTATTTACCAATGTTGTGGGGATGCCAATAGACTCTGCGGCGGCGAAGGCCACGGAGAAATTGGTCCGTTTGTCGTGTGGAGTAAGCGTTGCGTACGGAACCCGAGCGTCGCCCAAGTAAGAGTGTAGGAGCGCACATAACGCCATGCCATCGTTCCACGATGAACTAGAAACAGTTAAAACATTTAAAAAACTACTTTTTACAACGTCCCTGGTCGAGTGGTCTGCATGCCGGTTTTGTGATGCCATCTCTGAGATACCGGGTTCGAATACTGGCCGGGCCAATGTATGTACATATTGATCTTATCTTTCTGAGTTTGAACGTAGTAGTAACATTTTCTTTATTTCCATGATGCAAGTGCTAAAAGCCACGTAATTTGGGATGTGAGCATGTATGATATTATTATAAGTAAATATATTTTCTTGAAATTCACAAATGTTTAATTCATTTTAAATTATATTTAAATTTTATCGAATTACCTGAAGTTGGTGATATCTATATTATTATATCCGAGGGTCTTCTGTTGACACCATTTGAGCAGAGCGTTACGTTTCGATCCACCGTTCTTCACTTGCAACGCATTCAGGGGATCCTTCCTTTCACCTATGCAAAAATATGTGAGTTCATAAATTAACGAATAAAAATTCTCTGAAATATTCATTCTAATAGTGTTTATTGTAATTGTGAATATTCTCTCTAGCATAGCTGTAGCGGCTAATAAAGGCCATTTCATGAGTAAAAGAAAAATAAGTAATTGATAATAAGATATGACTTTTCTATCACGCTTAAATTAAATAAATCTCATTGGAAAGAATTATTTTTTATTCTTCAATAATTTTTTTGATGATAATATTGCATATACACATATCAAAATTTTATCAACCGTGAGCGCCGTATGAAAATGACGCTGTTAAACCACACCACAGTATTGAAGGCTTATAGCAATCAAATTTCTTATTTTATTTAAAAAATATCAGTCCTTTTAATTGTTATTGTGAATTTTTATTTGTATGAAGAAGCATACTAAATAGATACATCCTAAGAAGAGTCCTGACATCCTTCGTATTAAATCAATAAAGAACACAAACAGTACAAACAATGAGGTAAGCTTTCGATCATACTGGATAAGTTATAAATCAATGCTATTTTTACGATGAATTAATATTATCAATAAAACAACTGAATGATGAATATTATGTCCAGTAACGAAGACAATATTAAAACTTGTGCACTGATCATTAACTTTTCCAGTATATTTGTTTGTTAATAATGTGGTACGCACATATGTCGCCGTAGCTGTTTCGTCGCACGAACGACTCGATCGCCTTCTGCTGTAGTGTTGCCAGCGCTCGTTGTTCATCAGGTATATTGGCCCCGGGCGCTGGTGGCGACACCGCCTCTGCCCCACGCGGGTTAGACACATAAACGTAAGCGAAACACAGTGACAGTTCTGTGTCAGTGTTGCCATGACAATATTAACACACAACAGAAATATTGAAAGTATTCTAAATAAAACTATTCCGAATTTATATTATACAGTCAAAATCGTCTAAAATAGAAACGTTTCGAAATACATTGGTTAATGACCAAAATCACTAGTCCGGATTAAATGTTTTATGACTTTCTGAATAAAGCATTTCGACGCTGCTTATTTAAATAATGATTTGGGAGACACAAACACCAAATCTGTATGAAAAATGTTAGTAATAAATTCAGTCAAGGTATAGTATAGTGGTCAAAGACTAAAGTTATATCAATTTGATTTTCAGTGTGACGACTCAATATGAAACCTAGCAGGAAGAAAAAACAGACATTGTTTAGTTTCTTGCCAGCACGAGGTTCCCCGCCATATTTCGTGAACGTTTCGCACGTCCTACAAAACTTGCAAATTCCAAATATCATTAAATAAAAATATATTAAATGTATAGGCAGTTGCAAAATGTAGTTTTATTTTAAACAAGAATTAATAATTATTGGGGATATCTTTGAATGTTGTATAACCAATACAGTATACCTTATTTACGACTTATTTAATAAAACTATTTTATTGTATAATGGTTACATTTGGTTGAGTCACAAAAACAACTAAGCTACAATTCAGTTAGTTATTAGGGCCAAGTACAATATAATTAGTTACTAACGTTTTCTTTGTACGTCCCTACAATATGTATAGATTAAATTGTATTTATTTAATTTCATAGAGCTAAACAAGTACCGGTTATTAAAGCTACCGGTTTTATGACTAAGTATGAGAGTCCCTTGAATGTGGCTTTACCCGATTTTGACTGAATAAAGTAGCGTGGTTATATTCCTGACACAGAAACGCCGCCTATAGAAAAAATAGTATAGATAATTGTTAGACACAAATTGCTATGGTGTATTTGTTTCCGACCCACAGGAGCCACTGAAGATGATATATCTTTGAAGATATAGATAAAGATAATCTATCTTTTTGGCTAAGAAGAAATCTAGTTAAGAATAAATAGCATATACTACAAAATATTTGAGATCAATACATGCTTCAGTTAAAGACAGGTGTTATTAAAATAAATAAATATAGATTATTTACCTAAACCGGTAAGCCCCTCACACTTCTATCAAAATAACACTTTAAAACATACACCCGTCTGTATTTTTCACTATAAAAATAGAAGGATTAGGAAGTAAAACAAAGTCTGCATGCAAATCTATGTAATTGTAAAGAAATAAGTCGCACACAACATAAAGTTAAGACAATCAAGCGAAATTAGGCGCTTCTCTCATGCTGCCATGCTGTAAGAAGATAAAACAAGCAGCGGCTTTTACATGCCGTTAATTAATAACTATACTTATATAAAAAATAAAAGTTAAAAAAACATGCTCGAAAAGTATTAACATATTGAAATTGAAAATTGGAGAAATAGTAACGTAAAAGTGTTTGTTTTGAAAAACGACAAAAAGTTTAGTTTTTTGACAATAATAATAAGGTATATGAAACTTTTGTTTTTTACAAAATGGCAGATTATAATATTATAAAAACAATGGAATATTATAAAAAGTTTTCAGATTCGATTACTTATTAATATATGCATGAACTGATTATAATGTTAGCTATACTCAGCCTTGCGAGTTTGCTAGTGCATAGCAAATAACCCTGTATACATATTATCTTGCGTTTATTCTGTTTACTCACCGTTGTTGCAAGGCGACGCCCTAGCGGATCGTGAGGTGGGCGGTTTGGCTGCATAGTTCGTCGCCCCCAGACCGTTTGAAGCTGGCTGACTCTCCGAGAGACCATTCTTTAAGTTGTTAGCAGTAGTCACTGCGACTGTTGTTTGCTAAATAAATTGTGAAAAACTTGTGTTATGAAATCGAAAGCACTACAGATTTCGAGTTAAATTAACAGTTTCTTGATAATATGGGTATCACACTTGTAAAGCATATTTTAAGGTGTTTTATGTGAAGCAGAAAGGATATTTTTAACAAAAGTAGAAAGATATAATTAATAATTATATATTTCTTCGTGTATTTCGTGTCACAAGTATAAAGATGTTACATTTAGATGTTTACAGTTCATGTGAGGGTGTCACATAAACTGTAAGTACTGTAACTGTAACAATTGTATATAGCCCCTATATAATATAAAATTGTCAAGCTATTATTTAAATTACATCTAATTTTAATTATGTTATTTGTACAATTCATTTCCCATTTAAAGATATAAATCTTAATAACAATTTATATTTTATTTAGTTTATTTTTAATTATTTCTTATAATGATATATTTAAAACTTAATGTTAATTGTATAGTATACATCATGAGTCCTAATTCATTTTTGAGAATTTATATTATTATACAACTTGTAACATAATTAATGCACATCCTGTTTAAAATCAAATACTGATTCAATTTCAACGACTTCTAAAATAGGTAATTTTTTACACTCATAACAAATAAGAATCATAATTATTGTCTAAACTTAAAAAACACTTACATAGAATCTCGAAACAAAATAATATTTCATGTCGAGATTTTTTATTGATAGATAGGTGGTATCATTTTGGTATTTCACTGTAAGTACATACATTTGTAGTTGGAGGTTAAGCCGTAATTTTGACGTTTTTGTGTGGATTTGTTAGATCTCCACACTGTTACGCAGTAATTAGTATAACTGTGTCCATACATAAACAATGATTTAGTACATAATCCAATTTTCGTTTCATGATTATAAATGCATTTTCTAATTGGAGTATATAAGGACGTGCGTTATTTCTGTTACACGTATGTACATTTTATTATATTTTACTTAGTAGGGGTCTTTATTTTCAAAGAATTCCGAGAAACTGTAATAACTTTTATTTATAAGAAATTTTGTCGACTGAAACTTATAATAGGTTTTTTTTATTTAATTTTTATTGTTTATCTTCTTAGATAAGTCTGTTTTAGTTTTTCCAATATTTATTTAAAGTTTCATTATTTGTTTTCGATTTAAGTTATTTTTTATTATGATACGAAATTCGAAGTATTTGGTGTTTAATTTATATTTCTTTTTAGGTAGGTATCCTTAAATTCAATACTCTTTGAAGCTAATTGTTAAAAATATTAAAGTATTCATTTATAAAAATCTCTCGTTTTATTTTTTTATTTCAGTTCTTTTTTAAATTTACATTTTTTTTTATCGAATACACGCTTGACTTTTGAAAAGTCGTTACTTTTTGGTATTGAGAAAAGCGACCCCGAACAGTTGATTGTTGACTTAACATTTAAAAACAGCAGATCCAAATAAGTAGAACTCTATTAAATTCTATGATTATTGTTATTTAATGAAAATGACATGCGAGAATAACATTTTTTTGAGTATTCTTGATTATATTAGTAGTAAAAAAAATCACATTTTAATCACCTTCTATTATAATGGATGGTATTCTATCACTAAAAGATTCAAATAAGTTTTAAGAATAAGAATTGTTTTAGTAAGTTTACTAAACAATCAAAAAATATATTGGCCAATATATGTTAATTATTAATGAAATAAATTTAGTTAATTGCTTCAATTATTTTTTATAGGAAGACATATTTCTTTTAGACAAAAGTATTTTCAAAACTAATATTATATACCAAATAAAAAAATATTTCTGCTCTCTTATGACGATTATGCACACCATACGTTTATTATTTTTGTCTAATCAAAATATTACAAAACAGCTAGTGTGTGTAAAATAATTATTCAACCGAGGGCAAAATCAAAGCGCAAATACAAGCAAAGAGGGTGGTGATGGTAGAAATTGCGTCATTAAAGGGCAATTTATAGATTGATGATGGTTCCCATTATTTACCTGCGGCCATTCTCCTACTGGCGTTGTGGCAGGGGACTGCTTGGCTGCCTTGGCTGCATTCTCTATGCTTTCTATTAGAGACTTCACTGACAGTCGCGAGTCCTGACGGCTAACACCTGATAAATATTTATTATTTTAATCACGTATGCGCCTTAGAACATAACCTAATGTTTTATTTATAAAGTTTCAAATTTTTTTTTTTATTGTAAATTATGTTACGGTTTAATATAAAATCCGGGTCCTAACTAACACTTTGAGTATTTATGCATTATGTAAACAATACAATTAGTCATAATATACATAGAATAAAGATCGAAATGATATCGTGCAGATTATTTTGCATATCGTAGGTATTCCATATAAAACAACGAATGAAATGCGAGGTTAAAACTAGTTCCTTACTATGGGTAGTCCGATAATAAAAATTATGAATTTCATATTGTAAATATTAAAGAATCGGTTCTCTTGTAACTAGCCGGGACACTTGATTAAATAATTAGTTTACCTTTGTTACGCCGATGTGATGCAGCAGACGCCATTATATCCTGCAGGGAAGCGCTGGTGAGGAGAGGCGGGGGCGTCGGAGTCTCCTCGCTGCGCGGGGGCATAGCTGTAGTACAGTTTGAGATTAGGTGTACATCTAAGTAACTAGTATCATTAAGATATTGTTGTTGTTTACGTGAATTGAATTCCTTGGCATGATTATATTTGTTAATGTAAATATTAGTTAATTATTTTATCATAATAATTTGTCTTTTTGAATGGGGAAAAAATCTTATTTCTTTGCTTGTTACAAAAAAGGTCGGACAATGTGTTCTAGTTGACCTCAAATATTGATCGATTGATTATTATTGAATATTATATAAAAAAAGTACCTTGTCTTAGTCCATACCACCATCACAAACCCATTTCAAACAACACAAATCCAACTAAATAATATCATACATATCAAGGAACTCTGTGCAGATTCAGCAGCTAAAACTATGTGAAAAATTGAGAACAATATCAATACCCAGCCACCATAAACAAAAGCCGAACACAAATATTGAAACAATACATATAACACACTACAGTAACCAAAATGTAACATTCATAAATGGTGCTTACAAACCTATACATAAGATTTTTATTTGTACCGCTCCCAAAAGAACCATCACCGCGCTAATCAAGAGCTAAATTACTTGAGAACATAACGGCAGGACGGTCCATACGTTGGTACAGTTATTTACAGAAATCTCACACTAAGACGTTTAATATTCGGGTCACAAGAAGCCTTCTAACTTACGTAGAGGTCTCGGTGGCAGTGGATCGTTTAATGACCTGATCGGATGCGACAGCCTTTTGTGCTCCAACGTCTTCCAGTAAGGCTTTGGCCCCCGAGGCCAGGAACCAGTGTTAGTTTCAATATTGGGAGCATTGTGATTTTGTAATGAATATTTTCGAGATGGCGTATCAGGGGTTCTTCTAGTATCTGGATTGGGTGGTTTCTTTTCTAGATGCTGCACTATTTCCCCGATAGATCCACTAGGCTTGTTGTCAAACTGTTTGGCGCTAGGCGTACGCGATAGAGATATAACCGATTTAGTAATACTAGATATTTCTTTTTTGACAGCAATACTTTCATTTTTATCATTATTATTAAAATTATCGATCTGGTACCTGGATTCCCTTCTAGGTCTTTTCGGCCGCCTAGGCACTTTGAGTATTTCTTCACGCGGAACCGATGCGAATTCATCAGCAGTACTTTTAGAAATTTTCTCATCATCAGCTATGTTATTATCTACTGGAGACAAAGGAAAGAATGGTTGCCCTATCTCTTCATAATAATGTTCTTGTTCCGAATCTCTTCTATTTGTAGTGATCAATGGTAGAAAAGGATTAGTATTCACTTTAGGGGGATCTTCTTCGATTTTATGTTCAGTTGGTACCCTAGCCTTTGGAAAAGTTTGCGTTGTGTTAATAAAAAATGGAACATTATCCATCGGTTGATAGTATTGATTATCTACTAACCACTCGGGAGTTTTCGTCAATTTAATTACGCCCGGTTTGGATACTTCCGACAGTTTTAGTCCCAATTTAATAGGAGAGGGTGATTTCGATTCTACGGTATTGTTATCGGCAGCAAATGTTTTCCAAGTCAAGAATGGCAGTTGTTTTGCTTTAATATTTTTTTGATAAATGCCTTTTCTTTCAAACACTGCTGTCTTATGTTCTTCTACTTTTGGAAAGTCAGTTGGTATCGATAATCCACTTTCAGATTGTTTATTATCTTCTATTATTACTTTATCAATGTCGTCGTAATAAACTGTACCCTTTTTAGCATCTTTTATTTCGTTAATTTCAAGTTTTGGTTTTGTTGGTTGTTGTGGTTTGAAAAAGATGGGCTGTATTAGAACTGGACTAATTATTATAGGTGAAGTACGATCGATAGCTCCATTGACAATATTAATAGGAGTTAAAATAGTTTTTAAGCGATTTTTAAGTCTGTTATCTTCGTTTTTCGCTACATTTTGTGGTATCACTTCAACTTGAGGAAAATCAGAAGTTACATCATTTAGAGAATTTATTTTTAAATGGTAACTAATATCGTCAATTATTTCCGGGTCTTTATCTTTTTGTTCGAAATTTTCAAAGGAAGTTTTATTGCTGATTTTTCGTGCTATCTCTTCATCTTCTGAACCTAAATTTTCACTAATTTTAATTTTCGGGATAACTGCTCTTATTTTTGGTTTAACTACTGTCTCCTCGTCGACTTGAATAAAGAGATTTGGATTATTAGCTTCATTTGTATTACTTTCGATAGGACTATTATCTTTATTTTTCTCTATGAGTTCACTTTCAAAATCATCTGTTTTAATTTTTAAAACAGGCAGTTGTGAACTGGAAACTAAGACTTCTTCAATTTTATTACCAATCGCTTTTTCATGATTTTCAGTTATTACATTCATTGAATTATTAGACATTAATTGGTAATCACTGCTCCTGTTGCTAACAGATATTCTCTGTATAGCTTCCCTAAAACTTGTTTTCAATTCTTCGTTTACCTTTTTTATATCGTTTTCTATATTTGAATCGAGCGGCATTATTGGCGCTGATTTTATGTCATTTGTATTTACAAAATCTTTAAGAGGAGGTTTTATATCATCTGGGTAAGGATAAGGTAAAATAGATTCTGCTTTTACGATTGGTATAGGTTTGTTATTTGGAATTAAATCATTAACAGATTGGGACTTGCAACTATTAATTTCATTACTTAAAGGTAAATCTTTAGAAATAGTTTCATTCGGTTTATAGGGATCAGTAGATATAATGTTATCAGAAGTTTCAGTGTCTAAAGAAATATTACTGTTGTTAATGTTTGTTCCTAAGAATTCTAGACTTGTAGCCTCTTGTAAAGCATCCCGAAAGTCAGAATTGGTATTTAAATTTTCCATACTCAACGATTTAGGTTTGCCATTCAATGTGTTAGATAAATTTCTACTGAACATCTTTTTATTATCTTTAAATTGAGTCACATCACTAAGTTTGGACCCTGCTATTAGATTGCTACTGATATTATTCAGGTCAAAAATATTGGTGTCATCGTTTATTACTGCGGAGTGATCCGTTTCTTCCAAGGCGTCTTGTCTAGCAACTCTTCCTTCAAAAATATCCAGAGCTTCTTGCCTCTGCAATCCTTTGACTTCGAAGGGAGGTAGACAAGCTTCAGCCAATATTTTATTATTTGGCTCCATTCGTTTGCGAGACGATGCATCTTTCTGGCAATCGTCGTCGTTCGTTTCATCTGTCGTTACATTTTCAATTTCAAATTTGAAATCTTCCGGTAAGATGTCGTTTAGGTCGTTTTTTATTTCCGGTAAACTAAGCCTATAGAATGCTTGATCAATAATACTCGTGTCTTTTCTTGGAGGATCAGATACGCTGTGAACTCGGGACATGTACCTAGTTCTTATGTTTTTAAAAACTTCAATAGATGAACTATCGCTTTGTGAGTCCGATTGCAGCGATTCCTTTGACAGCCTTTTGTCATCATCAGAAAAGTTGGTAACGCTATCCACAGATTCAGACTTGTTAACACCTGTTTTGATACATCAAATTGTGATTAGACATTTTAAATTGACACTGACATAATTATTATGAACAATGTTAGTTGCATGATCCTAGTACCTACATAAAAGTAAGCTTTTTACACAGAATTAGTGCATGGCTGCCTGTTAATTCTGTGAACAAAAACATCGTGGTTGCCATCGTTAAATTCATGATGAAGTTGTTATATCTTGACAAGATTAAAAATGTATTTAGAAGGAAAATAAAATCGATAAATTAACGCACAATACGGTACTGAAGACTGAAGAGGTATCAACATTTTTTTAAAGAACTCATGCTAAAATAAAACAGCAAAATCTTTCAAATATGTACACTTTCAAAACTACCAACTCTGTCGCTATGCTACACATGCACACTATCTCTGTTTAGAGCCAGACTCTTGTATGTTGCCGTCTCACTTACCTTTGAGCGAGTGGATTTGGTCCTCTAGTAGGCGGATCCGGTCTCTGGCGATCTTGTTCTCGGAAACGAGCCGTTCTAGTTCACGCTGAGCTTCAGTCTTGAAGTCGTTAGCGACGCGCACAGTCATCAGGAGATCGCTTTGAAACTGCTTCCATTCCGCTTCCTATATATTCCGGGATAGACATAAGGGCTGATGATTGCTATTTGTAAATAAATTGGAGACGTCGTCCGGTTTATTTACAAATAGCAACTTTGATGTAAAATTTTTATTACTTTATAATGCCTACTTAGATTCATTAAAATATTGAAGTTTATTTAATACAAAACGTTTCATACTTAGCCAACAAAAGCAAATTTCAAGTATTTGGTAATCACAACACGATCACGCTTTAAAGAGTTGTAGATATCTCTCAGTTACTCGTGACCAATGTCACTCTATGTGTGTGTGTGTGTGTGTGTGTGTGTGTGTGTGTGTGTGTTATGTGTGTGTGTGTGTGTGTGTTATGTGTGTGTGTGTGTGTGTGTGTGTGTGTGAGAGTGTGTGTGTGTGTGTGAGAGAGTGTGTGTGTGTGTGTGAGAGAGTGTGTGTGTGCGTGTGTACTCACATCTCTCTCTCGGTCTCGTGTTAGTTGTGCATTCTTCGTTCGCGCTTCTTGTAATTGTCTCTCGGCGTCCGCCGCCCGCGCTAGTGCTTCGCCTGCGCGTGACATCAACGACAACTTTTCGTCTGACGTTACTTGTACCTATATCGCAATAATAATAAAGTAAAATAACTTAATAATAATAATAATGTCGTATGTATAAAATAAATACAAAAATAAACTTAAAACATTGATATATTTTTTTCCCTTCAAATAAAATCTTTTTTATATTAAACTATTATTAATTTTTTATAAGAATAAAATTTATGTGACGAAAATTATAAACTGCCTCTATTCACTTTAATAGAATGAATTGAACTTTTAATTGTAATATTGAAAAATGAATTGTTATACAACAAAGTAGTGGGCCCAATAGTTATCCCTGTATAATAGGGATGACGACTAATTTTTGTTTATTTGTCCGTCAGGTAGAGTGTTAAAAAATATTAAACAAGTATTTTTATTTTTTTTTTGTAAACATAAAACGAAATTTCGCATCGTCACGTTATGGTACGTTTTCTACCAAACTGTGACGTAGCGAGCCCCCACTCCTCAACTTTAATCTAAGCCATTTCTTGTTAAATTGAAGTAAAAAAAAATACGTATCTAATATTTTTCTATTATCTGACCGACGGACTAAATAGAATTGCATTTTTTTTACCCAGTCGTCATCCCTATTATAGTGTTAAAGTTAGCTTATTTAAAAACTACAAATAATCATTATTTATCTAATAATAAAATATTTTCATTATTTATTAACTTACTTGTATTTGCAGTTCCGATACTGTGTCTTGCAGCGATTTTAGCTCGCCCTGAAGCGCAGATTTCTCTTGCCGGAGCTGTTCCAGCTGAAACTCCAGTTCGGATATTGTCGATTTGGCATTGTTTCGTGATACCTGTATGTATAAATAATCATAAATTAATGGTTAAAACATATTAGGCATTTAAATTACATTACTACTATAAAATTATTTTATATTTGTCAGACGTTTCGGATATTTTACAGTTCCGTGAAGGATTCGAAACATCTGAAAAAAGAGATAATTTTTCCAAAAAAAGAAAATAATAAATAATGTTAATTATATATTTTTTTATAGTTACACAAGACATTAATGTGTATTTTGTTGTGATATTCTTAACTTGCATAATGTCAGCTATTATGAATGAATGAAAGACTCTTTATTGAACATACCATAAGTAAATAAACAATACATAATAATGTAACAGAACAGTACAATTGGCGGACTTATTGCTCTAATGTACTCTAGAATGCGATGTGAAGACTATGCATGCATGTAGTCCACGCGTGTGCATATTGTATGCGAGTGTTTAGTAGATGCAGAGTACAAGAAAGTTTTCTTCATACATACGCACCGAAAATATGTGAGCGCGCCCATGCGTATGCGTCGTCGTACGCACAGACAAAATTTATCAAAATTGAAGGTGCTCAAGGTACGAGTGGCAGCTGGACAGTCATTACAAATTCAAAGGTGGCTTTCACGATAACCACGTTTTAACTAATCTTTAGACGATTATAATTTTAAAAAATAATCAATTAATGTTATATTAATACAGGGGAGAGTTGTTTTCTATAGAGATGATCTATGCATTTCTGACGATTTAAGAAGGCTATTATCGCTCGCTCGGGGCTCAAGTCGGCGTAATATTCTTCGTATACTATGTAACGTGCGTGTGTCAGTGTGTGTGTATACCAGTGCGTCGTCGTGCATCTTCCGCGCGCGGTCGAGCTGCCGCTGCGCGTGCGCGAGTCGTTCAGCGAGCGTGTGCGCGGTGGCCGCGGCCGCCTCCGCCTCCCGCCGCGCCGCCACCGCCGCCGCCTCCGCCTCTGCCGCGCCCGCCACCACGCCCTGACGCTCCTCCAACTGTCGCCCACACACATATTAATAATTCTTTATGAGTACCAAAAATAAACATACAATTCAACAATATGCAGTAAAAATAGGTATTTTTAATAAGGCAATTATTCTACTAGATTATACAAATAATCTATATTCAGGGATTTAGTCCCTTTGTCTGTATTAATTTTAATAATAGCATAGATATGTACACTAATAGTTACAAAACGTGTAGTATTTACGAAATATTCTTAGTAATTGGATCATGATTGAGAGAAGTTATCATTAGTCATCAAGAATGTTAATTTGAAAACAGATAGTTTTATAGAAATGATAATGTGTGTATACTTAAAACAGTGTGCAAATTTATAAATTTAAGTTATAAGAACGCAAAGAATCATATCTAATTTTAATCTAAAAATTTACTAACACGTTTATATCTCAAAATGTAGCTTATATTTTACTCATTTCATATCAGGAAATTAAATCCTAAAATAAAGTCAGGATAAATATTACGACGCTTTTTAAATAGTACTATGTAAAGTATTATTTTTAAATAGTACTATGATAACTAACCGAATGCGATTCGGACTCCATATGACGGCTTTTCGTTTCATCTACTACGGTAAAATATTCTTTCGCCATAAAGTAAAAAAGTGCACATAAACAATTAGAATTATTACCACATTTACAAGTCACACTACAAAAATCTTTGATAATAATGCATTCATTTTGAAAGTAGCTTCAGAATTATCTCGTAATTTGACAGCTATTATAACCTTAAAACATTATTTACAAATTACGAATTTCACTGGCTCCCAGATGAAAAGATGCTAAGATATGATTTTATTTTAAGCAAAAACTAATTTAAGTTATCACTAATGGTGGGTAGACAAACCCCTTTAAAAAAACCATGTGACAGGTCAGTCAATGTATGGAAAATGGATATGATTCTTTAAAAAATCTAATCTCAAGAGTTATTTACTATAAGTTCATACAAATGTCTACAGATAGAATTCGAGATCACCTTAGCCTTGGCAGCGTCCAGTAGTCCGGTGAGGGTTGAGAGTTGATGCTGCCGGGCGGCCGCCACTTCCCGGGTCCCCTCCACTTCCTGCTCCAGCTGTGACCGCTCGCTTTCCAACCTCTCCACGCTACTTTCCAGTGTTCTAAGACAACATGATTTCAATTTATAGAAAAAAAAATTAATTCTGTGCCAAAATTTTTTTGTGGTCGTTATAAAAAAAATTTACACGTTTTTCTTCCTTTTATCCATCTAATATCGAAAATAAAAAAGAATATAGGTGTTTATAGACTATAACATGTTATTACTTGTAATCACCCTTTTGCACCTCAAATTTATTTATCGAATTTAGTTGATCGGCTATTAACTTTGAAGTTAAAATTCGCAGTTAGTATTATACTATATCTATCACCTTTAGATAAATAATCACATACCTACTAGTAATTAAATAATAATTAGTAGCTTTAAGTAAATAATTATTTTCGAAACGAACCAAATAACAGCACTTTACTTAGTTCTCAATCCGGCTCGAAGAACCATTTCACTCACCTAATCCTCTCGTTGAGCGAGTCGTTTTCTTTGGTTTTCTCGTCTAGCGTACTCTTGGTCTCGTTCAACTCTGCCTCCAGTTGCTCCAGCTTTGTTAATAAATGACGCCTTTCATCCTGTGACACCTACGATTTGAGGACATTTTGAAAATTATTTAGGGGTTGTCTATTGGAACATGTTTAGAATTATCGATTTATGTCATATAAAATCATTCGTTTGTTTTTTATGGTCCAGTAGATGGTTCTGTAACCTGTTTCTCTTATTATCTCAAGCTCCTTGCTTCAGAAGACACATAAAGCCATTGGTCCCGACTGCATCTGTTGCATTAACACCCATCAATCCGTACTGGGTCCGAATGGTGGATCCTTTTATCTTAATCAATTTCATTCATAGGGCAGGCATGTGCCTCAGCAGTGGGGACATTCATAGAGTGACGATCATGATTTAGGAAACATACCTTTATAACTGCGAGTAGTTGGTCGGTGTCGCCGGACACAAGTGTCTCAGGTTCATCACCTTCGCGTAGAAGCAACTCTTGAAGCGTATCCACCTGATCGAGAATCAAGACAATATTCGATATCAGTCGTAAGACAAATTTATACAACCAAATCGATGTCAAATGCTAATTCTCTTAAATTTAGCCTCCAGCTCGCGTAGCATAACCAACTCGAAAGATTGGAGAAACGAGCAAGAGAGAGACCGACTGAGATATTTTATGGGCAATATAGGGATATCGCACTCTCGAGCCGCCCGAACGTTTCTTGAGCCTCTCGAGTTCGTTATGCCACCCCAGTGGTTTCCAACAGTAGTCCGCTGACTTAAGTGATCCTTGGAAGCAAATGGTCCACGAAACTTAAAATAATTATAAATATGTTTTAAAAAAATGTTTGTTATTGATTTATAAACCTAAAAGGTAAACTAATATATTTTTTCCTTCTACTTCTATGTCGCTACACTCTAATCGTGGCCTTCACATCAGGGTTGGTGGCACACCGAACCAACCTTCGCCATTTCTCCCGCGTGCCACCATGCGTGGAGTGGACTGTTAAATTGTTGTTCTTAGGTTTAGCATATTTAATTAGATTAGGCACCACTACGCAGAAAAGAATAGAACATCCCCTGACCTTGGTCCGGCTGTCCTCCAGCTTCTCAGTCTGGCGACAGAGTGACTCGAGCAGCACCTGCTTCTCGTCAGTGAGCCGCTCCATGTCAGCGTGCGCGTCCGCCAGCTGCGACTGCAGGTCCGCCAGCTCCGCCAACGTGGCTTGCAACTCTTCGCTGGTACTGTATAACCACCATTTATATTCACATAAGAATAGTCAGCGGCGTAGCGTTGGCTAAGATTAGTCCACGTTTAGATAGACGTGAGAGTAACCGCAAAATAATTCGTTTTCATTTTCAAAAGTCATTTTCTTTATGTCTCTGCGTGGTATCATCTGTCAAGTAACCAAACTCACTCATCTTTGCTTCGGAATGAATCAAAATAGACTCAACGTGCAATACTAAATTGAACGTACACTAACGTATCTAACACAACATTGGGTAAGTGCATTTTGATTCAATCGGATGTCAAACACTTTCTGGACAATTAGAGAAATGAGAGTTTCTTAAGTAAATCATTAAATAAAAACAAAAGTAATAAAAACTTAATATGTAAGTATATACGGCTCGAAGGATCTGAGCTTATGTAATGTTAAAATGATATGAAATGTTTTCTGTTATGCGTCGAACAATGTGTGTATCAATCAAACCTGTAGTGATGCTCCTCCATCTGCAGGATGCGGTCCTGGAGGCAGGCGACTGACACCTCGCTGAGGGACGACGAGTGCTTGTCCCATTCTGGTGTGCTCGCCTCGCAACTCTCACTCTCGCCCTGAACAACCAACAAATACTTTAACTAACTTTAAATTTCAATTAATAACTCTGCCGCGAGATCATCGGATCAAATGACAGAAGATTCGTTAGGCAAAGCAAGGTTGAATGCAGCTGAATGTCATTTTATATATTTAACGTTTCGCGGCTGACAATTACGCATCACATATTCCGTTAAATATGGACCAACCCTATTTTTCGTTCAAGGTTTCACTTATTCGCGAGACAAAACGCGTCCATCGCCACCAAACTTGACTTCTCAGTTGGTATCGGAGCTTTATCTGCTCTATCCGGCTGCGCTTGCTGAAGTTAAGATGAATATTCACGGATTACCCCAAAGAATATTTTATGATAAAAAGGGACATCGGGATAGGAAGATAATATAAAAGATTTCGAATTCTACTCTCAATGTATTAAGGTCTAAAACCTAGTGGAGAAATTTGACAGTTTTGGGTCTACTCTTAATTGTCCGCCTACGATAATTCGGTGAACGTAGAATTGTTTATATAATTATGTCAAGATCATATCCGTGAAGATTATTGTACATCAGAGTCAGTGTCAGGTTCAACCTCCGTTGCATCATATATAATCGAAAAATGGTTCATATTAGCATTTCGAAAATACACGTAATTTTGTTTTTGGAGAAAATGAGTACCTTCTGCCGTGGTATGGATTGTACGTACGTTGTGTGCGAGTGCGATGGAGGCGGGCGCGGAGGAGTGCATGCGGCGGGGGGCGGGCGCGAGCAGCAGCTGCCGCTTCTCGCTGTCAGAGAGCGGCGAGTGCGCAACTCCGCGCAAGCGAGCGCGCAACGCACCGTTCTCGTCCGCGAGCCGTTCCAGCGCCGCTGATCGCTCCACTTCCGACGTCTATATTATAACAATTACACCCTTACATTGGTGATGAAATAAGTGTTCATAATACCATAACTACATTGCTGTTGTTTTTTTCAGTATTCATCAAAGAGATCAGTGTCCGAATGTTTGCTTGCCTGCCTTGCGCGAAGCTTATTGAAAGCCGTGCGCTCACAGCAGTGATCAAATTTTAAACGCAATCTGTACAGACAATAGCATGTCCAGTTATAAAAATCTTTCAAATTTCTCCACTCGATTTTAAGCCTTAATGTTTTGAAGTTAGATTTTAAAATCAACTAGAGGAATTTGACATATTGTGGTAACCTGACGTGCACACGTGATGAAACGTGTGAGCGTATTGATCATTTATGTCCGCACGAGTCTAACGCGATCTTTAAACAAAGATTATATTCACGTGTCTCAAATTCTCAATTTGCTCGAGACTTTAGCTAACCCCACTCTGCTCTACCAACTGATCTTCCTGAGACTGACGAATCTCTCAGGACAATAGGTAAAGCAGTCGCTTTTTCGCTATTTATAGCATCGTCATAGAACAACTACTATACAATCCAAATACGATTAGCGTTTATGTAATGACTTTAATGACATAGAAATTTGTGTATCAACTACATGTCTTTAGTAATTGGTGACTCTAAAATAAATAAAATTCTGAACTATATACATATCATTTCTCACCTTCATTCGTTCCAATTCGACTCGCAGCTTGTCCGCTTCCGCCGCCTTCTCCAGCAGTTCGTCCACTTGCGCCTGCAACTGTGCCTTTTC